TAGTATGCTGAACAATCCATTAGACCGGTCATTCTTAAACAATTAATCCAATTTGGGCAACCTCCACTTAGTACTTCTATTCTCCTTGACTCAGCGCGATATACTAAATCGGAACTCCCTGTTCGTCTTGCTCATCGTGTCAAAGCTTTACAAAAACTTCCATTTATAGTAGGAACTAATCCATATATCAAAAAAATTTATCAATTATACTTTGATTCATTTGAATTGATTTGTAATTTTCCTGAAATTACCGATGAGAAAACTGATGACAAGTTTGCTGAAATGTTGGCACAAATAGTAGCAAGTCATTCTGAGAACATTCCTACATTGGCTAAAGGTTTTTGTCAAATATATATATATATATATATACTTCATTATTATACATCTTCCTACTTTTGTTGTCTGTTACTTACGTTGAATGTTTTTATTTCAGGATTTCAAGAATGTAAAAGATATATGTCTGCACAAGATATAAAAGATTTTCTTGATGACATGATCAGTGCTCGTATCGGAATACGTCTTATCGCAGAGCAACACATTGCTTTACACAACGCAAATCATCCGAATGTTATTGGGATCATAGATACTCGAACTAGTCCTGCAAAATTAATTCAATCATGTGCAAACTGGGTTCGAGAACTTTGTGAAGGTCATTATGGTTCCTCTCCAGATATAATTATTGATGGGCAAACGGATACGAGATTCGCTTATGTTCCTGTACATTTAGAATACATAATTTCTGAAGTACTAAAGAATTCTTATCGTGCCACTGTTGAGTATAGTTCAAAAATTGATCGGAATCGTCATCCACCAATTGTAGCTACAATATCAAAAGGTGAAAATAATGTTGGCATTAGAATTCGAGATCAAGGTGGTGGTGTAGCTCCAGATCATTTGCCATCTATATTTGATTACTCTTTTACAACCGTACCTCATGATGAGGATTCAAATACTGCTGAAGTAGATAATATATTATCAAACGTCTCTAGACGTGCCATGCAGGCTGGGTTGGGTGGACCAATTGCCGGATTAGGTTATGGGTTAGTATTTGAATTTATTAATGTTGTCAGAAAAAGTTATTATCCTAATATATTTTTTTTTAATTCAAATATCTTTGTAGACTTCCCTTAGCTCGTATTTATTCTACGTTTTTTGGTGGATCATTGAATCTTGTATCTCTTCATACTTATGGATGTGATCTTTTTTTGAAATTGAATGACATTAGTAAATCATTGGACGATTTAATTTAAAAATTGGTTTGTTCAATAATACTGTAATTATAGAATCCACGTATCAAAAAAAAATCCCTATTTGTAATAAATGTCAAAATGATTTATCGTTATTTACTGTATATATATAACAGCAAATTGAAATTCTTTTAAATCATTGTGCGTATTTACAAAAAACCTGGTTAATACATAATGATATCACTTCTAGCAATTATTTAATTTTTTTGCTAGAATATTTAGACTAGAATATTTTTTTCTAAAATATAATATTCTTTATTAATGAGTGGCCTTGATCATAGTTTATGAAATTGGTTTTGCCAATACAAATAAATATTAGATCTTATAGATAATGAATAGAAAACGAATATTCAAATTACCCAAATAATTATTATTTAATAGTTTTAAGCGCGTAAATTAGTTAAATAAATCGTTTCACAAAATCGAAAGCAAGGAGTGTAGTTAAAAAAAATCAAATACAAACGTTAAAATAAACATAAAATATTACAATTCAAATACTCTACTGGCTTACTTTTATTATCTGGCGAAGTTATTTAATTATTAATTTACTAGTAATAATTGAATTACATTTAATAAAACACTTTAACTATAAATTTAATATATTGGTATACATAATTGATTATTTAATAACACTATTTTAATAACGATAACTAATAAACTTGGTACAAATTTTGTATTTGTACCATTTTCAGAAAGTGCTATCGGTATACATAATTTATTATTTAATAACACTAGTTTAATAACTGAAGCTTTTTTGTATAATCCTAAGCTTGGTACAAATTTTGCGTTTGTACCATTGTCAAAAAGCGCTACGTATTCTTTTAAATATTAACATATTTTTGCGGATTTGTTTCCATTCTAACTATTTATCGTAATATTAATCATCAGTCAATACATTAATCGGTTCATTAGGAAATATCAACTTTAAAATAAAATTTTTCTGTCAGCACCAAACAAGCGACGATCGAAATTAAATCTTTAGTCCACTATTAAAAAAAAAACAGAAGTTATTGAAAAGAGTTATAGGAGAGTGTGGAAACCCATGGATTATTTGAATTGGTAGTTTTATTCTTGTTTAATCTATTGTAGTTGTGTTATATATTTGAAAAAAAAAATAAATATAAGTAATTGAAATAACCGATATACAGTAAAAACGAAGCTACTACGGCAACCGCATAAAATGTCGCAAACACGTGATTTTTTAACCCAATCACGACACAGGATCAGGTGTAACGTGAAAACAAAAAATTTTTTTTTCTTAGCAAAAAAATTTCTTGCTATATACCCTGACTTTTTTACTATCATCCTAATGTTCGCCCTTACCTCAACTCCATAAGTTAATTTTTTGATCGAAAAACGCGTTGACAAATTCATAGTTACGGCAAAAAGTTGCATAGTTTCGGCAATGATTTTCTTAACAACTACTGATCCAAATTGGATGAAATTTTTACTGCTGATAGATATAACACAGGGGCAGAACTGCGGTTTACTTTGGCCAATAATATAATTGACGGAAATGTCCAGTTATGTGACTTTTCGAGTTCAATTATCTTCGAACAAAAAAACTGATTTATATTAGGGTCCGGGCATATGCTAAGTGAGAAGATTTTTCTATAATAAAATTGCACGAAGAATTTTTTTGTTAGAACCCAAAAGACAGTTTAATAGTATAAATTTTAAGATAAACGTGATTTTTTTTTTTAATTTCACCTTTTAAAAGGGATTTTTGGATCATAAATTTGAAGAAGTTGCGCGTTATAGGTTTACATATAAATATAAATTCTCATGGACCTCATGAATTTATGACTAGTTTTGTAAATTTTTCACCAGATTCTGAACGTAAAATCGATTCTCTGTTCTGGCTTCATTTTAAACGATAACAAGAGACCAATTACTCATCTGTTGTAGTGGCGAATTAGATATCGAAAATATAAAATCGTAAAGTGTAAAAAGCATTATATAAATAAAATACGAAAAAAGTAAAAAAAGACTAAAAAGTAACCCTTATATATTTTTTTTGTTGGTATGCCGAAATCGCGATTTTTAAAAAAAAACATATGAACGCAGTACAAATTAGGTAATCACTATTTTCCCAGGCGTGTGATCCCATCACAAAATTACAAGATCATATGACATAGTGATGTAATTTGATTGACTAACATCGCATCGATACTTTTTCATGTCGGGCGCGTAAATCATTATTTCTCAATAAAAAAATATAGAAGTTTAGCCTATTTTTTTTCTTATAAAGTTACTTTGATTGGCTAAATTTACATTCGCATTTCACACTGTGAATTTTTAGCGCATTATTTTCAAGTCAAATTATATTCATAGCGAACATATTTAAATTCGTGATACTTATACGGAGAAGGATGTTTATGGTAAACTAACTGTACCCTGTGTGTAGAGATAGTCACCTTATATGAATGCTGAAATGACAATGGGGAATCTTCGTCAAATAACATATAAGGCACGAAATTTGTATAATATATTCAGTGAAGTTGGTATTGAAGTACTAAGTGGAGGTTGCCCAAATTGGATTAATTGTTTAAGAATGACCGGTCTAATGGATTGTTCAGCATACTA